TCCCACAGACTTGATACAATTAAAAACTACAACACTAAATGCTGTCAAATCGATTAACTATACAGCCTAGTCTGATATTAACCAATACTAAAGAGGCATCTGCTATAGCATCAGCTATACTTCATACAATAATCCACTGATCTCTCAAATACAGAGTTGCTTAGGAAAACAAGCAGAGGTCTTTCCAATTATTTGTTCTGAATCAATAATACAGATACACTATATATATAAGGCACATTCATATGACAATTTAAAAATGCCCTTAAGACATTTTCAATACAATACCTATAAATTCAGGCAAATGCAGCCAATCCAGAATAACAGTTGTAATTTAAAACAATAGGAAGGAACAATACTGTTTCTATTCAGTGCACTTATACCATGATGAATAAGAAAACATAATAAATGAAGCCATTCCTAGTTTTGAATTTTCTTGAATAAGCATGGGAGAAAACAGGCCCTTGTAGATATGTGTAGAATAATTAATTTTTAAACAAAAGATTAAAATTGAAAAACTTGCAGACCAAAGTCACATTAACATAGATATCTGTAAAATGGCATTTTTATTAACAATAAAAGTATTTTTTTCTAGGCACATTTTTGATGGCTGATTTGACTGCAATAAACAGTTCGTATTCATGTAAGATCAGAACTTTAACTAAAAAGGACATTTCAGATAATTAATCACAGGTATGAGCTCCCAAATTCTACATCACATAATACATGTATTGGGTGATCCAATATACTTCAGAAGCGACATCATTTCTAAAAAACCTTTTCACTTGTAAAACTCTAAAACTGCAAACTTTCCATATTGCCACGGCTACCTACTTTTCATCCTGAACAAGATAACTTGATAATGTCTATTAAAGGATACTACTGTAATTGAAATGAGTAGCTCTGGGAATTTCAAAGATAACCTTTCAAAGATAGTTTTAGGAGACTCAAGACATTTTGAGATCTGATTCATAAGACAGGAATGGGAAAAAAGTCTATGCACTTAAGCATCTTGAAATATTGCAGACTGGAAAAATGATGTCCTTTATCAGCACAGAAAAGAGCAAAACCAGTCAGAATGAAGGGGGGGGTGTGACACCATAAGAGCATGTCCTGAATCATCTTCATATTCTATGATAAGGATGGGAAATTGATGGATGTAAGATGTGTTGGACAATAACTGTAATAATCCCTGATCATCTATCACACTACTTTAGATATTTGTCAAAGGTATTTGGAGGACACCAGGTTCTACACTGCTGCTCTTAGGAACAATTGATTCAAAATATGTATATGATCTAAGATCTCAAATCAGTAAATCAAATTTGTAAAACCACTATTAAATCCTTCTATTTATGTAGCAATTAAAATAAAGAAAAAAAAACTGCAACAGATTCCTATGCTTCCAAAAACTCAAGTAGAAAGTGCCAGAGCAAATTGTCACTGTAAAGACATATTCTAGACCAGTTTCTCAATTTTGGCAACTTTAAGATGGGTTTATTTCAACTGCCAAAATTCCCTAGTATGCGGGCTGGGGAAATTCTGGGAGTTGACACCGCCAGCATTGAAAAATGGTGTTCTAGGTTCTCTTCTGAATTTCCACCTATTCCCCATGCAAACAATTAAAATACTGTCAACTTCCAGGATTCTAAAAAAGTGAATATTGAAGTCATTATTAACATCAATTACATCACTGCTTTTTTTTTACTACAGGTAATCGTCAACTTATAACCATGTATTTAGCACCTGTTCAAAGTTACAATGACACTGAAAAAATGACTTACCACTGGTCCTTGCTTACTATCATTAGAGCCTCCCCATGGTCATGTGATCAAAATTCAAATGCTTAGCAACCAGCATGTATTTACAACAATTGCAGCACTCCATGGCCATATGATCATCTTTTGTGACCTTCTACACTTGTTTCTGTTAATGGGGAAAACTGAATTCCCTTAACAACTGCAGTAATTCATTTAACAACCATGGAAAAAAGTTGTAGGATCAGGCAAGACTCATTTAACAACAGCTTTCCTTAACAACAGAAATTGTAATCTCAATTTTTGGTTATAAGGCAAGGACTATCTGTTGCTAAGCACCTGAATTTTGATGAGTTATCTGCCAGGTTGGATTTTAACTCTCATCTGTTGCCATCTACCATGGCAATATATTTTAAGAACTGCAATCTATAATACATGGAGGGCCCGCCTCCATCAGAATGTAATTCATATAAACATCAGATATATTTGTGAATATTGACTACTTAATGCTAAGCAGTTAACATTATAATGATAAACACCTAGGGCCAAGTTTTCCATAAAGATGAATGTTCAGATTTGATTATTCATTTGAGGAAAAGAATGCTCCACTGATACCAGATATATTGTTATATTTCATATATGGAAGTGTAGTCTCATATATTGCCATGTGTAATGCAAAGCAAATTTTAAACTACACTCAAAGCAAATGAAAGGGAAAATTGTCTCCCCAAAAATCAGTTTCGCCTACATGATCAATACAGTCACACCTTTGTGACTTTTGTGTGTCCAGAAAATGATTTCCTGAAATCCTAGAGAAAGGGTAGCTATGTTGCAGGTAAATCTGCAGTGAAAATGGAAAATTTTATGTATGACAAGCTAAATTGTAATTGTAACAATAATTCTGTCAATTCTAAAAGGTTCTGGTGACAATTTCAATAGTTCATATTTGCAATTATGCACAATTGGCCTATCTAAACACTTCATAATGGAATTAATTTTTTAATCAAAATAGAGTATTTCCTTTCCAGTAGCAGCTTCTTTTTCAGTAATCTACAATTGTTTATCCTTCAATATAGCATACAAACTATCAGATAGTATTGATGACAGCAAGCTAATTTGAGTAAGATTCATTAACCTCTACTATCTCTGCTGGGGTGATGGAATTGAGAAAGGAGAAATACAAAGTACTTTCTTTTGTAGAAATATTTACTTCAAGAACATATCTGAATTAAATTTCTGAACTATCACATACCAGCTGTTTGGATCAAACAAAATTCCTGAAATAAGACATAAACTGGGTTGTCCATTTCTAAGCCTTCTAAGTAAGTTGCAAACATGTTCTTACATATATACTGTATTAAGAATCAAGATGAAAAAAGTAAATTAACTACTTTATACAAAGTAACTACACAGTCAGGGAGATACCTGGTTAGGTCAATATAAGCATATCTATATATATAATATAAAAATACATATAATGATGACTCAACCAGTTTGATAATTGAGCAGGATTTCCAAGTTTTATTTTCTTGTTTACCCCAAACCAACCTATCAGTTTAGGATGAGAGGCTGATTAATAATACCAAACAAAATATTTGATATTGTAAGTTTTATTAGCCACCTAAAACTGCAACACATCTCTAAAATTAAACAAAAACAGGAGCTGATTGTGCCATTGCACAGTAAGCATCATGCACTTTACAAAATCCAGTTAATATGTTACATAAAATTATTTTTAACTATCTAAATAACATTAGTGAGTTATCTCTGACATTAAAATGGGCATATTTCACATTTTGAAACTGCTCTGGAAAGTGAGACAGCATATTAGAATTTCAGATTTCATTCATTGAAGTTTTTTTTTTTTTTAAAAAAAGACCTCCTAGGAAAGGTATCTTTTATATTAGTTAAGTAACAAGATGCACAGCTTCTTCTGCTTTTTCTAAAGAAATACGTGTATTTAAGACCACAACAGAACTTTTTGCCTCATGCTAAGCATTTTATTTTGACTGCATAGGAAAAGGACGGGGAAAGAGAGAATGGAAACGTGTGGAGAACATGTGAAGGGAAGAGAAAGTTGAGGGGAATCACAAGGTAGGCAGCTGAGTTTTAAAACGAGCCGTTAAGGGGTCAACGGCCGGCAGCGCGTACAATCTGGTCACAAGCTGCTATCTCGACACGGAGGCCGACTGCGGCCTGGCTAGTCAGGATGCGGCGCCGCGCCTTTCCCGATCAGGTTACAAAACAAGAGAAACGCTGGGAGCCAAGCAAGGACCAGTTCCAGCTACGGAAACAGCCAGCCAAGCGTCCGCTCTCAGTGAGTCTGGGCGAGCCAAGGCAGGCACAAGGCGACCTCTCCTGAAATGCCAGGTGGGGGCGGCGCTAGGAGAGGAGCAGCGCCAGACCGGGCCTACGGGAACCGCCGCCTTCAGCAGGCGGGCACGGCACGAAAGGCGGAGCGGCCGAGAGGCGCTCCTTCCAGAGCCAGCCAGCCAGCCAGCCTTCCCGTCCCCCTCACCAACTATCGCTGCCTACCAGCCGGCTGCCTTCCAGGCCCGGGCCGCAGCCGCTACCACCACCGCCGCTTCCCCCTCCTGCTCGACGACAAAATGGCGACGGCAGGAAGTATCATCAGCACCCGCCCCGCCCAGGCTCCCTCACTGCGCCACCCGCGCACTAGACCGGACTCCCCGGCGCGGAGAGTCTCCTCTCTTTCGACGCACGGACAGAGATCTACCCCTGGGCGCAGCCATCCGGACAGCCGGCAAAGGCGGGAAGCGCTCTGGAAACGGATGCCCAAGTTCCTAGCGGTATACGTGCTGAGGACACGGACAGGCTTACGATAATCACGTATCCTACAGGGAAAAACGACGCTCTTACGCAAACTCCGCATCCTCTCCAAGCGCTCCTCAGCACCTACCGCAATCCGCGTAACCGTGCAAAATACCAAATCGACTACCAGGCAATCGCCCCGAATGCAATTTGTCCGGTAACTGCGAAATACACATAAAGGCAAACAGGGAAAATGCTCCTTTCACTCTCAGAAAAACCCTAGGAAAAGCTCCATCACCAAACGGAACGGCGCAGATTCAAAAGACCTTTGCGCAATAGGCCCCGGCGCAAAATACGTAATCCGCCTGACGCAACGGTCACATTACGCAATGCGGGTTACGCCGGCAAAGCAACGTAATTGCCCAAGGAGAATACCAACCTCCGCAGCCTCTCCCGGCCCGGCCCAGCTCTTACCTGATACCAAACGATAAACCGGAGCAGGCTGTGTTGCCACCAATCGCCTTATCCGAGCAAATACCGTATAGCCCCGGCCACAGACAAGGCTCCACACTCCGCCTGGAGGGTCGAGTACCACAAGAAAAAAACGACTAAAGCAGACCGAGCGACGGGCAGCGGGACCAGCAACGGCGGCACTACGCTGACCTCACCGCGCAGCGCGTGACGTCATCACGTAACAAGCCCCGCCTCGCGTAAAACAGAGGACTTCGAATTCTCTGCCTTCAGACACGCCTCTTGAATCGAACAGCCGTGCGACTGGCGAGAAGTGAGGTTGCTTTCATTTCTGCGACGGGACTCGCGAGCGAGCGGGAAGTAGAGTTGACGGTGCCTCCGTATTTAAAAGATCTCTATTGCTAAGGGCACTGCCTTTCCTTCAATAATGTCGCAGTCACGAGCGGGGTTTCCCCCCCCCCCCGTCATTCCCTCTTAGCTTTCTCTCCAGCACGAAACCAGCCCTCAACAAGCCGGAAGATCAAAGTTCCTCTCCCGCTTGCCAAGATGCAGCATTCCGGATGGGTCCGTTTGTGAGCGCCACATTAGATCAACGTCCCGAATTCACGTGCCGCCACTTTGTCTGAAGGGTTTTAACACGGCACTACTCTTTATGAGCTCTCTGCTGGTTCCGAGGCCAATTTTCTTTTTGCTTCTTCAGCTGAGGATTCACTTTCCCCCCAAACAGGGCTCCCAGATCCGACCTGCAAAAAAATCAGGACGACCACTAGATGGGTTCGCGATTTTTTTTTAAATCTCTCTGCTGCCCTCTAGTGATATCTTCAATTTTTTGCTCTCCACCTCTGAAGATCCGACGGAGGATAAGACACGGAAGCGCGTCACTGGTGCACACACAGACCAAACAAGCCTTTCTGTCAGGAAGCCTTCCCGCCGTGCAAATGTACTGATTTTGCCGGGAAACTGCTCTGAATCTGAGGAAGCAACGCCTCTGCTTAAGAGTATCGAGGGAGATTCTCGGTCATCCATGTTATAGTTGTCCCAAAGATGCTTTTTTTCACCAGGCAACTGGATTTTCTTGTTTTTCCTTGGAAGGCGTTTCGCTTCTCATCCAAGAAGCTTCTTCAGCTCTTCTCTTCCGCTTCTTGAATGAGAAGCGAAACGTCTTCAAAGAAAAACAAGAAAGTAGGGTTGCCAGGTGTCCACTATTTGAGTGGACAGTCCACTTTTTTCACATTATGTTCACTATTTTGTTTCACAAAATAGTGGACATGTTTTTTATTCAAAAGCTTTATGATGAAATGGTACGTAATCTAAAGCTGTACAGTCTACTTTTTTTACTACTTAACTGTACAGTCTACTTTTTTTACTACTTAACCCCCCCCCCCCCCCCGCTTGTCCGCTATTTTTTGGAAGCAGACCTGGCAACCCTAAAACAAAGTCCAGTTGCCTTCATGGAAAAAAAGCATCTTTCGGCCCCTTGGAGCGGTTGCTTGCAAGTCTCTCTCCTCACCCCCTTCTCCACAGACCGAAGCTTGGTCTCCCAAACGCTCCTCTTGCTTCAGCTCCTTAAGAGAAAAGGGCATCTGTGTAATAAAAGGTGCCCTCACTCAATCCTCAGCATGCAGACCGACCGGCGGAGCGAAAGGAGCATCCTTGTTGGCGCCAAGGATTTTGTAACCATCCAGGCACACTTACCTCCCAGCCTCCGAGGCTGTGGCACAAAGGACGAGCGGCCGCCTTGGAGCGGAAGCTTTGCAAAGCGGGCAAGCAGTGAAAAACGACGCCTGCTTTCTCCTTGACAGTTTAGATTAAGTGGCATTTGGAGGGTTGCGAAACGCTAGCCGACCGGCCGGCCTGCGTCGTTCTCCTCTCCGTAGAAGGGGGAAGTGGCGGCCCGGCTACAGTTAATCACGAATCACTCAAGGTGCCAGTTCGTAAGCATGCCTTGATACCCAGTGCAGGTAGTCCTCCACTTACGACCACAATTGAGCCCAACGTTTCTGTTGCTAAGTGTAACATTTGTTGGGTGAATTTTGCCTCCTTTTACGACCTTGTCACAGTTGTTGAATGAATCATTGCAGTTAAATTAGTGACTCGGTTGTTAAGTGGATTTGGCTCATTCGTTTACTTTGCAAATGCAGAAGGTGGCAAATGGTGATCACATGACCCTGGGACACTGCAACCGTCATAAATATGAGTCAGTTGCCAAGCATCTGAATTTTGATCACATGACTATGGGGATATTGCAATGGTCTTAAATATGAAAAACAGTCATAAGTCACTTTTTTCAGTGTCATTTTAACATTGACCAGTCACTAAATTGTAGGAAGTCAGCACCCTTCTCCCAGAGAAGGAAATATTTGGGGGATATTAAAAAAAAAGGCAGATTATTATATTTCCCCAAAGGAATAAGAGAAAATTTTAGGCAGAAATCACCCGCCCCCCAAGCCTCTCTGCCCCAAGCAGAAACCAGCTTTTAGAAATGCAGATTTGGTGATTCATTCAGGAAAACTGGGGTCAGCAACCTTGGAGCTGATGGGATTAGAAAGACAAAGACCCCTAAAATCTACATCCCCCACCCAAAATCTAAAGACATGATCTTTAGGACATAATAGGATTAACTCACCACCATTAGAATACCAAAAGGGTACACTGAACCTCAGGTCAAAGTTCATTGCACAGGAACAGGAACAACCTCAAATAGTAACAACTCCAAACACAAAGCCCAAAGGAGGTATAAAAACTCACCACTCCCAGTTCCATTTTGTCAGCCACCCCAGAAACATGCTGCTGTCACTGAAGTTTCTGGCAACAAAATAAACAAGAACCTTCTTTCTAAAGTAGTCTCCATTTTTTTATTCCCGGCTTGGACTGGATCCAGATGAAGATTTTTCTTTCAACAAAATTAACTGTTGTAAATTGAGGACTACTATCTATAACTCCAGCACTCTCAGACATCACTTTTTACTTGAGATGACGAGTGAGGATTTATCTTGCTTCCGTTGTCCGTCTTAATAGCACATCTGGATTAACTAAATGGATGTGGAGAGAGACTAGTGAAAGTATAGCAGTCAAAAGCATAGCTACCACTGGCAGAGTTATTAGCTGCCCAACCATTTTTCATCCAAGGTGTATTTATCTGGGACATTTTCCAAATAAGACACACCACTCTGGTGTGCAGAAATAAAGTACATAAAACAAGTTGGTGTTCCCACTACAGTATAAATAATCTATTGTATTTGTATAAACAATCAGTTCCAGAGAAAATGGGAATGCATGTCAGCAACAGAGAAAAAAATGTATCTATAGGATTAGACTAAGTTGATCTTTAGCTCTTTCAATTCCACAGTTCTGTGATTACTTTAATTTGTATCAGCAGACCTGCAGAATTAAGGCAAATGTCATAAATTAACACCAATGTCACAAATTAACCATTAAAACCAAATAATCAATACATTTGTCAAAGCCGTCTCCAACAGAAAATCTCCAAAAGTTTTCCACTGTGACTCTTTTAGCTATTCTTATCTTTTTCTCCAGTAGTTCTGCTTCCTTCTTTACAAACATATCGGAAGAAAATGTTACCTAACCAGTATAGTAACAAATCTGTGGGTTTGTGGTGTATAGTTTTCAGTAGCACATGACTATGAGCAGTCAGTTAGTTCAAACTGTAGCTCAAAATATATGGAATAATTATATTATACACCCTAATTTACTCACTACTTCTGTATTAAATGAAAGTTTGCAGATCTTGATAAAAATCATATTTATTGTGAGGAATTTCTTTATACTGAGTCTATATCTCTGGAAACAATAATGAACAGAAAAACACCTATATTAAGCAATATACATGCAACTTTTTCAGAACTGTGATGACATAAGAACATTGTTTCAGATATAAAATGGAAATTTATCAGTTGTTATGCCGAACAGAATACTGAAGGAATGTTCCATTCTCATAGAAAGTGATAGGTAGAACATACCATTTTCCAAATTCCATCAGTAGAGGGAATTTTTTCATAAGGATTCTGTCCTGGGCCAGGTAGTTTTCAGTATTTTCATAAAGGAGTTAAAAGGGGGGATAAAACTATGCTCAGAAAATTTGCATATGATACAATGTTGGAGTGTATTGCTAACACTTCAGAAGACAAATTCAAAATTTAAAAGGATTTTGATAGTCTTGAACACTGGACTCTTCTAACAAAACACAATTAATTGGTAAGAAATGTAGGGCTGTGAGGTTAGGTAGGAAAAACTGGATGCAAGCTACAACATAGAAAACATCTGGATGTCCTAGTACACCACAGATTAAGTACGAGTCAGTAATATTTGACAGAGGTACTACAATGTCTAACAGTATCAACATATGTATGAGATCCCTGGAAGTTAGTTTTCCATGCTGACTGATCAGATCACACCTGGAATACTGTTCCCAATTCTTATCACCATAATACAAGAAAATGCTGAGCTGGAAAGAGTGGTGTGAAGATGGCGAAAGAGTTAAAGAACTGGGTATGTTAAGCCTAAAGAGGTCTGAAGAGTGTTCCCTCCATTAGTAGATCAGGCCAAAGGATCAACTCCACAGGAAAACATAACTATATAGGTAGCTGTCAGATGATTATGGCAATTGGGACTGGGACTTCCATCACTAAGCGATGTGGTCATAAAGTGCAATGTCATTTAGCAAGGGCAGTTCTAAGATTGCAGTTAATCCTAAAGTCATTAAGTGAGGACCATATGGATTGTTGATCAAAGACCTCACTTGACTGCAACTTCTGACTTCCCCATTGACTTCACTTGTGAGGAACCAATAGAGAAAGTTGGAAATTGTGATCATGCAATTGTGAGGATACTGCAACTACAAGGATCTATTGTTAAGTACCATTCACTCAGTGCCATCCTAACCTTGAACAGTAGTCAAATGAGTGGTTGTAAGCTGAGGACTTCCTGTACTTTATTGAGATAAATAATATAAAAATCTTGCATATGTGATTGTATTATCCCTCCTGTCCTTCTTTTACCTCAGTGAATTGGGGAGATGTTTCTACTTCCAAATATTACCTTGTTTCCCAGAACTTAAACGTTTCAGCCCTCTTTGACTATAGGAAGACACAAGAGCAATTTTCCAATACTTAGTGCTGTCACAGGGAAAAAGATATGGGTGTATTATCCATACCTCACAAGGTAAGAACAGAACGAACAGGTGAAAACTTTACAAAGGGAGAGTTAAACTTGAAATTAGAAGGAATTTCCTGAAATCAACATTAAACAATGGAACAGCCTGCCTTTTGGAGTCATGGATTCCACGTCATCATGGCAGGTTTTCAAGCAAAGTTTGCAAAGCCATTTTATCTGGGATAGTATGAGGATTCTTGTCTTGGGCAAGGCACTGGAATATACCTCTTTCCAAATTCTGACTATTATGCATACATCTGAAGTAATTGCATACATCTGAAGTAATTGATCAATTAAAAACTTATGTAATTAGCAGTTTGTTATTCATTAAACCAGTGGTTCTCAACCTTTTTAATGCCGCGACCCCAACCGGTCGTAAGTCGAGGACTAAACCAGTCGTAAGTCGAGGACTACCCAACTGGTCGTAAGTTGAGGACTTTCCCTGCCCGGGAGCGCCGCGCATGCATGGTTCTGCCCCCTGCGCCGGCCGAGGTGTAGCTGGCAAGCGGCAGAGACGGAGCAGGCCGACCACCAGCTGGCCCAGCCCAAGGGAGGTAAGGCACCCGCTGGAAAAGGGGGGAAAAAATGGCGGACAAAAAAAATGGCGGACAGCCTTGCTTGGCAACCCCCATGAAATGGTCGATCGACCCCAAATGGGGTCCCGACCCACAGGTTGAGAACCACTGCATTAAACAGACACATGACTGTTTTGCTTATAGAAAATAAGCATGGACTCCCCAGTTAGAAATTATACACAAATTTGGAAATTTCTGCCCACAAAGCACATATTCCGCTAAGTACTTGAAGTTATAGCATATCAGCCATGTGTATAGTGTGTAGAGCCCTACCACTGTGGTTTATTCAATAAAGGTTGATTAACAAGTCACTTAGTACAATGTGATGACTAGGTCCTTGGAAATGAAGCACTCATGAAATGCAAAAAAAATGTTTATGGCCAATAGTAGGTATTTTAATTCCAGGCTATCAACAGTTCTGAATGATCTTAATAACAAATGTTGATGGAAGCCAGATAGTCTGCTTTACAAGCTGTTGTGAATGGAAACCAATACATTTACTAAAATAGATAGTCACACATTCAATAATTAGGTAAGACCTCATTCCTGTGCCATCCCTGGTTCTTGTTTTATGCATAGTTTTAATTTTTTAATTCCTTTTCTATTTATCTTTTGATGATTTGTAAGCTGTCCAGGGTTGTCTAATCAGGGACATGGGCAGCATATAAATGTAATAAATAAAATAAATAAAACTTCAAAATAGGGCACTTTTGTGGAGCTCTACAACATGATCTCAGTGAACGTCTACATTTTCTCATAGCAACTGGATAGAATATAAGGATTCCTCTGCCCATTTTGAATACACAGCTACTGACCGAAGAAAAATGCTTAGAAATCATTTAAAACATATGATTTAGATACGGTCAATAATTTGTGAACATAGTTATGCAATTAAAATCATTTATGTGCAGAAAAAAACAAAATAATATTGTTAGAGAATATTTTTGTCTCTGTTTTTCCCTCATGAAAAATTGAAATTGCTATTATTGTATATAATTGAATCAAAATTTTGATCTGGAATTAATATTTATCCAGCTTTTTATACACTATCAGAAAAGTTTATTTCTCTTATCTAATAGCTCTGTCATTTTGAAATAAGAAAAGAAGTCTGCACCATGAACTACAACAATCAATACAGGTCTTTTAGCTCTAGCAAATTATGTTTTTAGTACCTGTTTTGGAGCCAATTAAACTAACACCAGACAGTAATTTTCCATGTTGGAAGTTTATTTAATTGCTAATTCAACAAAAGAAGAATGTTCATTCTACTTTAAAATGTTATGCTACAAGCATCAATCATAACAATTTATCTATGTTTTGCTGCTCTTGGTATTGCTTCATTATTCCTGGCCTGGAGCAGTTTTTGGCAATCTACTCTGAATAATACCTCTCTGACAGATTTTGGGAGAAAAGAGGGAAGTGAGACTGCAGTGTTGCTATAATATTTTTCTTCGGGTATGCTTCCCTACCAACATAATGAAGCACCAGCCTATCATTCCCCATATAATTTCTGAAATAATGCACAGCATAAACGACAACTCAAGTGTGATACACAGTAAGTTTGTGCTTAACAATTTGTATATAATTACAGATGCTATTTTTCATGCAATACTGCAAACTGGATAAATGACATTAACAGTCGTTATGGCAGCAAGTTCTTTTTCCAGAAACTTAAACGAATAATCGATTTTACAGGGAAAAAAAACAAAAACATTTAACATCTACTCCCTCCCTAATAAGAAGGTTAATTCTGTTTTCAAAATGAAGCTATATTTCTTTCTGCATCGGAAAGAGAAAGCCAAAAGGATCTCAATATCAACACATTTATTTCTATTTGTTCTAAATGCAGGAAGGTATCAATTTACAGCTAAATAACCTGACCAGCTTGCCAATTTCTATCTTCTTCACAATACAGTACAAGACTGTTTCCCATACAGAAAGATGAATCCTTTGCTTCAGACAAAAACAAAGTTAGCAACAATTCAGGAGTATACATCAAAAGATTATGAAGAGGGAGTACTGAAAAGATTATATAGCAAAGCAGGAAAAACACCTCCACACAATCTTTCAATTTGGTCATTCTGGACACAGCTCTGTATTTGTTACCCCCACAGGATCCTCCTCAACACTGCTGCTTTCAGCTGTTACTATTTCAGGGGTGTTTTCCTTCCCTATCTCCACAAACTGTTGCTTTTCCACTTGGACTTCTTCGGCTTTCTCGTCAAGATTTTCTTGAGGAGGTACTTCTGCCGTTTCTGATACACCTGGTCTCTCCACAAACTGCTGCTTTTCCACTTGGACTTCTTCGGCTTTCTCGTCAAGATTTTCTTGAGGAGTTACTTCTGCCGTTTCTGATACACCTGGTCTCTCTTCTGCCTGTTCTTCCTTCACATCAGATTCACCTTTTGAAAAACCTGTAGCAGAGCAAGGTGCTTCATCCTCTTCTGGTTTATTAGATTCACTGACTTCACTGGTTTCGATGACCTCCCCAGTATTCTCCCCTTTCTCTACAGTGGCACTTTCCTTTTCACCTTCAGCACCTTCTAAAACTTCAGATTCTTCAACATCTTGGTCAATACTTTCATCTGTAAACGGATCATCACCCTGATGAAGGGAGGAAGTACAATGTTATCAGTGTTTAATCATCTGATCTTGGCTTAGAGACTCTCAGACCTAGAACACATACGTTTAAAATTGAATGTCTGAAAAGTGAGCATCTATTTTAGTGCAGAAGGGCTCCTTCTTCTGTCTCAAATTATCCAAGAAATTGTTTCTATATTTTATTCAAGTTTTTTTTTTTTACATATGATTTTTTGGCCACTAAAGTTCCTGAGACTGGCTAAGTCTCTGACTTACAGTAGGAAGAATGGACTCCAATAAGTTCACTATGGATTTATGAGAGCAATTTTACAATAGGTAAATGGAATAAATATTAGGTAAAATACAGTACTTGTGACCTCTGAAGATTATTCATTTCTCAAATTACTTTTAGAGCATACAATTTAGGGGCAGAAACTCCAAGCTTTAAGAAATGGCCAGTTTTATTCAACAGTCAACAAGTCAGCTCTTTCAGATCCTATTAGCAAAGTCCAACATTGACTCAGAGCTATAATTAATAATGGATACTTACAGATTTCAGTGGTATTATTAAGCAGATTACTTTCTGTGTCCAAGAACACTATGTGACAAGAGTACTGGGAATTGTACAGATAGAAGCCATGCTAATTTTATTCAGATTGAGGTCAGATTTTGGCACTATCTACCATAGGAACAGAGCTTTGTTTAGCTCTAAAGAGGATTTTGGTTCTTTAATAAAGAAAATACCATATGAAAGCATCAGGCATACATTAATGATATGCCTATCCATACCATGATAGTATCCAAAATCACTATGTTCCCTACTCCCCATCCTTGTAACTCTTCTCTAATATGTGTACAACAAATAGCAGCAGCCTATTAAGGGCACAATCTAGCCAATTACCTGATCACATAGAAGCAACAATTTCTGAACTATATTCATGGGGGCAGTAAGTGAAGAGTCCTGTGCCTGTCTGTATCCAATGAATCCCACCCACAAAACTGGGCTGAATAGTATAGTAATGATTTCTGCATCCAGAAATTAAGAATCTGTTCTATGATCCAGCAGGATCAAATTCAGACCTGACTGCTTCCATGAAAGAAGATTCATGCATGTGTAACATAAGTAGCGCCATCTTCTTTGACTGAAAAAATCAGCCAATCGGCCTTATTTATTGATGTTCTGGACTTTTTTTTAAAAGAGCTTTAGGCTCTACCCTGCAATTTGGATTTGTCCATTAATCGCTATTAAAGAAAATGGGTAGAGGGATTCAGAGTCCCAGACTGGTGGAGACTGTCACAGGCTTCCTCAGGAAGGGCAAGGTGCCATCATCCTTTAGGACAGGAAGCATTAGGTTAGTATTCAAGACTCATCTCTTGATGTCAACAATCTCACCCTGCCTCCAGCCTTCCTTTCCTGGGGAAGGTGATGAGAAGTGTTTTGACGGGGCATCTCTGGCATTACCTGGAATCCTCAGATTTCTTTCACCCCTTTCAGCTTGGTTTTGCACCTGGGTATGGTACGGAGACAGTGCTGGGTGGGTCGAAGATCTCCTCCTGCTGATGGACAAAGGTCAGGTGTCCATGCTGATTCTGTTAGACCTGTCGGCAGCCTTTGATACTGGTGATCATGAGGTGTTGCTGAGGCACCTGCGGACCCTAGCAGGGGTAGACGGAGTTGCACTTGAGTGGTTCCATTTTTTTTCCTCCGAGAGATCCCAGAGGGTGGCACTGGGCAACTACTCATCTGCCCCAGGGCTCTTTCATGTGAGCTACCGCAGGGTTTATTTTGTCACCCCTCTTGTTCAACGTGTATGAGAGGCCGCTAAGGGAAGACAGCCTCAATATATGGGCCATCAGTACCAACAAGAGGCTGATGTTCTCAGCTCAAAGTCTCTTTCAATGGACCCAGAGAGCAATGTCTCGATTTTGCTAGTGATTGCCTAGCAGGAACTAGTTAATTGGCAGGTGGGCAGTCTGAGTAAGACCAAAGTGTTGCCAGGGTGCAGACACACAAGACCCCATGATTCATGTTTCCCAAAAGAGGGTCCTGTTGAATCTTGGATTGCTCCTGGATTCCCAGGACATAGTAGCAGCCAAACTTGCTTTTCATCTTCACTTGGTCAGACGATTGCAATCTTTCCTCTCAGAAGTGGAAGTCATCAATTATCTATGACTATGTATGCTACATAAGAAAACCCTTGATGGTCACCAGAGGTTTTCGCATGACATGCAAGTGCCCATCTAGGCATGCACTTTTTCCATCATGTACTGTCTTTTCAATTCTTAGCAAGACAAAATGCTAACCTGGCCTATAGAGCCATATGCAAGTATTTTTGTCACCTGATTTATCAGTGTCTAACAGTTGAGATTGGCTAAGCCGATGTCAATTATTTCCATACAGGATCTTTGGGAAGAATACAGGGAAATAAATGCTTTGATTTTGGAATGCTGGGAGATCAAAGCAGAGCTATTTTATTCAAGAAAGATCATTCCTTGCCATAAGCAAGAAACCCAATGCTTTATCCATAAACAAAAATATTTCAAGCACCGCTGATTTTGGGCACTAAGTTTCCATTCAGCGGTTTTACTATACTGTTCTCATCAGATTTAATTTTAATTTCTTTCTCACCACTTATAAACAGCTAAAGACTTCTTATACACTTTCTGCTAATCAATAGAATAATATCCGACATATCCAACGTATCTGAAAAAAAGTGAATTCCTTTGAGATAAACACTCTTTCTAGGCTCATACTATGCATAACTGGACAAATAGTACTGTTTCTTCATTTTATATGAAAGTTACATGCAGCATACTCAGTTAATAATGAAATGCTCAGTCAAGACCAAAGTGGAGTTTCTGCTCCACTGCTCTGACAGAAGCTGGACTGAGCAGCAAATATCCTGCTTTCTTACCTTAAGGTATTTTTCTAGCATTTTCACAATGTGCTTGCTATTTAGGACACTTTTAGCAATATGAAAACTAGCCTTCTTGAAATGTTCGGCTGCCGTCTGAAAAAAAAAACCCCACATAAAATGTATAAGTAATTCTGATGATTAAGTACAAAATATACATGAGATTGACATGGAAAATTACGAATATTTAAGATTAAAAACAGTCAGCAAATTCTTTTTAGTAAACCTTTTGGGTTTTGGCCTACGCAGTTACATAGGATTCAATCTAGAGTTCCATTGTTTCCCTTACAGGACCTTGTTCTTAAGGTAGAGTGGGATAAAACATTTTTTCTTCTGAAGCTTGTCTTGTTTCAGTTTGGAGAAAATTAATCCAATTCATTTTCCTCCAGCAGACCCTCAAGTAGGTTTCATTTCCTTTCATGTCTAGAAGACATTTTCCACTCATGGAAGCCAACTGTATCCAAACCATGTTAATCAAAATCTTTATAAAATTTGAATATAGAATAGGAAATTAAAATATGGTTGTGTAAAGCAAAGGTTCTTTAAATGTCTTTGTTAAAGTCATCATACCACCTATTAGTGAAAAAAGTGATGATAATAATAATAATAATAATTTATTTCAGTGATACTTTATTTCTACAATACTTTAAATCATTTATATTTCAAAAACTTTCTTAAGTTTATAAGTCATAAAACTTCTTTTTCCTTCCTGCAGTAAGAATGATTTATTTCATGTCCATTAACGGCATTCTTTTTCTTTTTTAATCAGTCTGGTTTAAAACCACTAATGATCACAATTTAGTTTAATGGCAGAAAAAGTCAAACTTAATGCTTCTGAAAAAACGAAAGCAGCCTTTATACTATGGAAATATTTCTATAATATTCATCATTTCTACTTAAATTGAAAAGTGTTTCTTACTCTATAAAGGCGATTGACAGTACTGAGAACACAAGCATAAGTATCTGATTCTGAACCTTATATTAACCTCTTATTTTTATACAGCAGGTTTGTTAGTATCAAACTGGAACTATCACACAAACAATGGTGAAAAAGTAAGTACACTTTTTTGGCATTTTTAACACATTTTTTTCACATACTTTAACATACAAGTATTTGATGTTAATTTTGACATTAATTTTTTAAAAAAACATAAATGTAAATTTTGCATGTGGAAAAAGTACGTACGCCCCTATGTTATCACCCTGCTCAAATATGAATCGGATGCTTCAAATTAGGTGCAAACGATTAGAACATCATTAGAGGTTATCTCGAAGGACAACTAGATCTAGATCAGAAGAGGTCTCTAAGACCTTTAGAAAGAAGTTTAGATATGTCTGTGAGTCTGGGAAGGGATTTTAAAAGGTCACCAAACAATTGGATATCAATTACTCCACTATTTGGAAGATCATCTACAAGAGGACAGGATTTCAAACAACTGCCAACTTGCCCAGCCCAGGTGGTTCCAGCAGGTTCATCCCAAGAGCAGAAAGTCAGATGCTGAAGGAAGTTGCTAAGAACTTCAGAATTTCGCCATGTGACCCAAAGTGCAAAGGTCTAACATAAGAATGAAGGTGCACGAAATAAATCTCTGTACAGGCGAACCAGGAGAAAACCTTTATTGTCCAGAAAGAACATCAGGGCAAAACTAAAGTTTACTTATCAACATTTGAACAAAGACTTCTGGGACAATGTATTCTGGATAGACGAGGCAAAGATAGGGTTATTTGGTCAGAGTTCCAAAAGACATGCTTGGTGAAAACCAAAGACAGCATTTTGGCAGAAGAACCTGATACCACCTCTAAAGCATGGTGGTGAAAATGTTATGGTTTGGTGCTACTTTGCTGCATCAGAGTCTGAACAGTTCACCATCACTGAATCCACTATGAATTCTTCATTGTACAAGAGGGTAGTTGAGGATAATGTGATAACATCTCTCAGAAGATTGGAGCTCAAGCAAAAGTGGACCTTCAATAACAATAACTCTAAATGACAGTATATCCATCGAGGAATGGCTGAAAAAAAACAAACAGAGACCTGGAATGGTCAAATCAAAGCCCAGATCTAAATCCCATGAAAAAGTTGTGATTTGAACCAGGTTGTGCATACAAGAACCCCTCCAACACTGTACAACTGAAAACATTCTGAATGGAGGAATGAAAAAAAAATCATCCTAAACAATATCAGAGACTGTGAGAAAATTATAACAAAACCCTCACTTGAAGTTGTTTCTGCCAAGGAGGGTGATATAAGTATTACAGCCAAGAGTGTACTTACTTTTTCCACGTCTGCCAATTTTTGGTTGAACAAATGATTGTTAAGTCAATTTTTCATAGGTTTTTTTTGTTTAATTACATCACCTTTATCTTTATATATTGTTATTATGAAGATAAATATTGGGATGTCCATATACGTTAAAAAAGAAAAACTTTACACAGGATGTACTTACTTTTTCACATGTCATTATTAATAGTTTGATCATTATAAAAGAATTATGTATACCACCTTGAAATGATTTGACTGAGGAGACATGAAAATTCTTTCTACTTTAACTAATCCCTGGATGAATAAAATAAATGTATTTGTTCTTTCTACATGTCCACTTGCTACAAGGCTGTTATCTTCCAGAGTTAATAGGCTTGTCCAAAAGTAAATGAATTAATTTTGCTTACTCTGCGATTCCTGTTGTGATCAACAGATCTCAGATGTCTCTGAAGAAGATGTTGTTGTGCAGGAATTAGCATGTCACAAGCCATACAATGAGCTGCTTCTATCTTCTTAAAAAAGTGCTCCTGGCCAATTCCTGAAAAGGTATAAATTAGATGTTTCCCATAAATTTGGAGCATAAGTTATCGACAAAGTCTCAGATATGCTGTTAAAAAAATACCAAAGTTGTTCCCATTCAATGCTGGGGTAATAGAAATGAAACTCATATTATTTACTAGAACAATAGCTATAGTCTGAATATGTAAACCAGACTTCCTTGATTAAAAATGTGCATATGGTCATGATCACTAAAACGTCTATCAACCCATACAGGTTTAAAAAGTAACATCACTGAGAGCCAGTTTCGTGTAGTGGTTAAAGTGCTGATCTAAAAACCAGGAGACTGTAAGATCTAGCCTTGCTTTAGGCATGAAAACCAGCTGTGTGACCTTGGTTGACCAATAGGAGGAGGAAAGAGTATTATGTATGTTTGCTATCATGTATTATTTATTAAAAAAGCAAAGACAAAATAAAAATAAATAAATAATCATGAAGAAAATTGTCATTTTAAGATTATCGTGTAATGTCTAATAACAATATCAAGGGATGCAAACATAAAATAAAGTAGCATTAAAGAAAGACATTTTAGGTGCAAGGGAAAAATGAATTTAGGGTACGGTGTTATTACATTTTTGGTAATGAAGTAATTCAAGACTTCTGATAAAGTTCTTGCGAGATTCTAAGGAACTGGTAATATAAATCTAAAAATAACTTCTTTCACTGATCTCTGTCTGTTTTTAGTTCACTCCATCTTAGATAGGATTGCACAAAATTTGACAAATCAGGAGCACACCTCCATCCCCTAAACTTCCAAATGCAGCAGGAGGTCTAAGTGCCATCACCAGAAAAGGTGTGACTGAAATCAAAAGTCCCACCTAAGCAAGTTTTATTCAGTAAAGGTATTTCAGAGTTGTCAAAGAAAGGATTTGTCCCAATATTAATTTTAGAATAGCAAATAGCACGTAGACTTGCATACCGCTTCATAGTACTTTACAGCACTCTCTGGGAGGTTTTCAATGTCAGCATATTGCCCCCAACAAGCCGAATCTTTACCGACCTTGGAACGATGGAAGGCTGAGTCAACCTTGAGCCTCGTCAGGATTGAACTCTAGGCTGTGGGCAGTTTGCCTGCAATACTGCATTCTAACCACTGCGCCACCAGGGCTCAGGTCTATGACAATTCATCACGGCCAACTCACCACAACAAACTGACACGGCCAACTCGCCACAGCTAACTTGCTGTGGCAAACTTGCTGCGAGCCAACTCGCCACAGCCAACTTGCCGTGGGACAACTTGTTGCAGGACAAGAATTACACTAATACCAAAGAAAAGGTGGAATAGCATCATTAAAGAAAGGATGCCAAAGGAGGGACAGAATGAAAAGTGAATGACAAAAATGAAAATTTTTTATTTATTTTAAATGATTAAATTGAATTGTTAAATTGTCTTGCAGCAAGTTGTCCCATGGTGAGATGGCTATGGCAAGATGTCCCATTGCGCAGGGCTCATGTCTATTTATTCCTCTATTCTACTCTATACATTAGTCTACTCCACTAACTCCCTAAAACGGGACAAATTGATAGTTTCACATGCTCTGGCTTTCTGATGCATAAGGCCACCTTCCTAACCGGCTGCCTCTAGACATGTTGGGTTACAGTAAAGACTGAGCTTAAAAGCAGATGCTGGATCAGTCTCCCGCAATTCCGTGTTCTAAGTGTTCTTTTTCAATCTCTACATTATCCTTGGAACTGCTGTAAATGACCAATTAAACCCAGACTCAAGGCACTCTCAGCAACTGAACTATATTGAGTGATATATATCGCAAGGACATGACTGTCCAGTCCAACCAAGGAAAGCTTTGCTCTAGCGGGAAAATTTTGGACAAGGGATATTGTGAATTTTTGAATTCCTGGAGAAAGAATAAAAAGAAATTTCTTAGCCTGAATGTTTCACAAGGTTATGATAAAAATAGAATAATCTCGTGTTTAAAGCCCTGATTAAAGGAGGATGAAAATAAAAAAGTAATCTGACAAGAGATAAATATCTTGTCTCCTTCTGTTGTTTTTTTGTTCCTTCTGCAGAGTACTGCATTTTTCTACTATATTTATGCTGTCTCAGGTTAGTAGTTATATTTTTCTTCTAAATATGGACTTTCTTTTCAAGTTGCCCTTGTTTAATAACCCTGACTGGACCAGAATTTTTGTCACTAAGTGATGTTATCCTTAGGTGAAACATCAAGTGATCATACCGCTTAACATTTCCCTCTTATTAGGCCAAAACCATGTCATCTTTAGGCCAGGACCCTGCCCTGCTGCGCTTGCTTCTGCTTTCCCAATCCCCCCTCGTTCTGGCCATTCTGCTATCCACTGCCTCTAGTGCTCATACTGTCCCCAGCTGACCTTCGCCTTTTTCATCCCACTGCTGACAAGGCACACCTAGTCTGGTTCTTAGTGAATCAGGTGGCTGTACAAGGCCTTGGAAAGCTTCACAAAGGCTTGTGCACAATGAGCTACTGGCTCGTCAACAGCGAGAGGAAGATGATGAAAGTCAGCTGGAGTTGGTAGGTTGGGACAGTGAGTGCAGGGCATCCAAAAGGGCAGACGTGAGGTACAGGCAGGTGGAGGGTCCCATGCAAGTGTGCTGTTGAGTGCCCAAATTTAAATCACATGACTGCAGGGGCACTGCGTCAGATCCACCATCACCAGCTTGCACCTTGCTGGGGCCCCGCCATTAGGGCAGGAGGCGGGAGGGAGGACAAGGGTTTATTGGGTGCTATTGCTGTAACTTCAAGCCTGTGAAATAGGGAGAGGGGGAGTGACAACGGAAGGATGACCAGATCACCACTAAACCGGCTTGTACCAGGATCTTCAAGGCCATTTGCCCTGAGAATGGAATGTTACCTGTTTGACACTTCAGAGGTTCTCAAAACATCTTACCGGCATCGCATTGGTTGGCTGGCAGACTGGTCATGGGGGGAGAGAGTGGAAAATGAAAAGAATAGCTTTGTATTTTGCACGGGAAGACCAGATTCCACCTGGCTTTACCACAACCAATTTCTTTCAGTAAAAGTTCTTCTGCTTCAACCAAATGGATACACGAGTCTTACTTTCCTGAGAGACTAGATTGGGGCAGGTCTGACACACTGTAACATCTGTTATTTCAAGGACCGGTCCAAAATGTCATTTGTTCAGCAATGTCATAAGTGAGGACTACCTATATAGATTACTTAAACATTATTTCTCAATGAATTAAGACCACTGCAGCACTGTGTTCAGTTTCTGGATGATAGTTAATGCATATCAAATGGTCTTCTACTCTTGTTCTTACCTTTAAATGGGTCAAGTTTTGGTTTTGTACCCTCTTTCTCAGTCAGCTCTTGTCGGCGCTTCCCAATTTTCTTGTTTCTGTTCACAATGTATTTCTAGGGAATAAGAGTAGACAATATTAAATATACAAGTTACTGGCCTTAAGTTATAAATAAAAGCAGCCCAATAAGATACGTTATTGCAACTCCACCTCCAACTTTATGGCAATGCAATCTCTCCAGAAAGATCTGATCAGAATAGTTAAGCAGCAATGTACCATTTCAATTACATTTTTTCCAGTGAAAGCCTTAGTTACCACTTATGAAAAGGTACAGCAGAAGCCTTTATGGTGGCTCGAACAAATTATTTTTAGCAACAAGAAACTTAGTTTTACAAAAAACCATGAACTAAAATGTGTAACTCTTGAAGCAACCTTAACATCTTGTCTAATTTGGAAATTTAACTATTTAAATGAGTACTGAAATATTCAGTCTAGGTTTTATGTTACTTAGGTATTTTTAACTGCTTGGAATCTTTTGGCGTGAGTGGTTACAATAAATCTAACTAACAATAATAAGAATAACAAATGTTTTAATAGTTTTACACTTTTTTGAATGATTAAATTAATTAAACACTTCAACGGTGCAGACAGGTACGGTAATTGTTTGTAATTATTTATATGAATTTAGGATTTTTCTGAAGATGTACCTGAAGGAATTCTACCGTCTTATCAGGTAGTTTGGTCCCAATGTATCGCAAGACTTCTTTATGAAATTTGTTTTGTAAATGTTTCTCCATTTCTTCATTCTCAAGAGTTCGGAACTTACAGATAGAGCAGGCAAACTGTATTCTATAAGAAACCATTTTGTTACAAAATGCAGTTTCAAAAATATGAAGCATTATGAAGTTAAAGTTGTAAAAAGAAATTAAGCACAATTCATTCCATATATTTGAGAAATCTAAGACCTAATTTAATTTTGAAGTGTTTTCTCCAACGTAACATATAGCATTTTAATAAAGTAAATATAGCAAGTATCTGGGTTAAAAATGCCCTGATCTAAGGATGAACCACAGTTAAGAATGGAGCCTATTATAGCAAAATTCAAGTTAAATATTAAATGGTTCAAATTAAATACACAACAAGTTGTTCATTATGCAATACTACTTACATAGTGTTATACAATTCTACGGTTCTGTCCTACATACACATTCGACTTAAGGACAGACCTTGGGAATTGAACTTGTTCTTAAACTGGGGACTCTTTATAGTACACCCCTAGATTGATGTTGAATTTTCATTTTACCATTATAAAAGAAACAATGTTTTAGCAGTAATTTTTTTCAATAAGACACTATCTTTTCTCTCATAGATTTTCTTCTGGAAAAACACCGCATTAAATTCTGTATTACATTCATTTTTATTAAGCAACCCAATTAAAAATACATCTGAATGTTTACGATGTTTTTTGCTTGATCCTAAAACAGCAACATATAAAATTACAAACAGAAAAATGTTTGAACAACCTAAAACTATATTATTAAACAGCAGCATTTTAAGGTTTTCCACTTTCTTATATTACATGCATTTAGTCTATACAGTCAATTAGCCAAATATTAGAGTAGGCTTATTATAGAATAAAACTGAATAAAAAATCCCAGTTTTAAAATCAGTCGTTTGTCTGTGTTGTCTGTGTGTTTTCATAACATTTTTTTCATAGTATTGAACAATTCAGATCTGAGCGTGCTCTTTTTAACAATAGAATTCCAAACTAAGTTTAATCTACAGTGTTTTTTGACAATACACTTTAAGCATTTATTGGACTTTTTGATTTTAGTGCCACTGAAATTCCTTATTAGAAGTATGAAAAAAATCAATTGTAGCTTGCAAGCCAGTAAAACATTTCTTAAAAACAAAAATTTAGAATAATGTGATGCAGTTACATTGCTTGTGTAACATTGGATATAACAAGTTTCACCTTTTTCTGTAAGCCAGGAAGATAGTTTTAAAAATGTGAAAGTAATATTAGTGTAATATAAATATTTATTTTGTATATATTGATACTTCAGCAAATATTAATAAGAGTTGAAATAATTGCCCTATGAATGGGGATACAATTAAGGAGTTTGAATACTGTATATTTGTGGATCTGTTACATCTTCGCAGAAATCTATGATAATTAACACATACTTAGATCAATTTCTGTATTCTTAAGATACATACCTATCATCTATATTCCTAGTATTTGAAGATGTATCAAACACCTGACTAGATGATAGATTACATGCTTCAAACCACACATAACCGACTGATAAGGTGAGCCAATCAAAATAGAGTTAACACCATTCCCAACCACCAATCAAATGATATTTGCTAAGAAGCAATAGGCAGTTCCAAGAAGGTTCCAGCGTATTTACACTATTCAGGTGACTCTAGGGGCACAGATAAACCTCCAAGCGACCTCAATGACTCTCAGAAAGAGTGCTAACAGCCAGATGACTGCAAGGAATATAAATCCTTCCATCATCCATCATTCAGGCAGAACTGAAGAAGTTTCTTGGATGAGAAGCAAAATATCTTCAAGGAAAAACAAAGTCCAACTGCCTTTTGAAAAAGCACCTTTGCTTATTTAGTGATCTGCCTTGAGTGGTGGAGTCAAAATCTTCTCCTAAATTACTGCCTATACTAGGTTTGGTGGAGGTTTGTTGCATGGTCTAGCCACAGCTGGGCTTAGTACTACTGGAACACAAATGTAATAAGTATGTTCAGCTATGTTGTTCTGGATGCATCTGTGGTACTCAGAATCCAAATATAGTAGAACATCCACAATTACAAGAGGCCTACATTATAAGACCTTACAGAAAGATAAACCTCCACAATTATCATCAGTGGGGTAAAAAAGACATCAACATTGCCATCCAAAGTAGGAAGCCTGCCTCCACAACTGTGACACTTACTAACAGAAGCAGGGAAGGTCATAAACCGTATAAATGCCAAGCAAAACACTCAAAACTATCAAAATGAACAAGTAGCATATTATCCGTGTGGCACTCAGAAGACAGTTGGCAGGAGCCCTGTTGTTTCATACAGAATGCTGCAAAAAGCAGCTCTCGCTCCAAAATATCAAGCATGAGAACATTCCAGTGCCACAGCCACCAATGTTGTATGTTAATCACAAAAATGATATTAAACAATCCAGAGTGTTTTCTTCTGACTATGATTTCAGAAATTTAGAATGTTTCAAACTAGTGATAACTAATCATATGAACGTTTTAATAATACTGTAATATATATTTTTATACCAGAGAAGCACACAAACTCCAAGTTGCAGGTTTGTATATATCCCACAAACGTTTGGATGCAAACCATAAAGGATGAATAATTGTCAACAAAGTATAATACAGTGAGGAAAAAATATTTGATCCCCCGCTGATTTTGGACGTTTGCCCACTGACAAAGAAATTATCAGTCTATAATTTTAATGGTAGGTTTATTTTAACAGCGAGAGACAGAACAACAACAAACAAATCCAGAAAAACATATTTCAAAGAAGTTATAAATTGATTTGCATTTTAATGAGTGAAATAAGTATTTGACCCGTTTGTAAAACATGACTTAGTACTTGGCAAAACCCTTGCTGGCAATCACAGAGGTCAGACGTTTCTTGTAGTTGGCCACCAAGTTTGCATACATCTCAAGAGGGAGTTTTTCCCACTCCTCTTTGCAGATCCTCTCCAAGTCATTAAAGATTTTGAAGCTGATGTTTGGCAGCTCAAACCTTCAGCTACCTCGACAGATTTCCTATGGGATTAAGGTCTGGAGACTGGCTAGGCCATTCCAGGACCTTAATGTGCTTCTTCTTGAGCCAGTCCTTTGTTGCTTTGGCTGTGTGTTTTGGGTCACTGCCCTGCTGGAATACCCATCCACGACCCATTTTCAATGCCCTGGCTGAGGGAAGGAGGTCCTCACCCAAGATTTGATGGTACATGGCCCTGTCCATTGTCTCTTTGATGCGGTGAAGTTGTCCTGTCCCCTTAGCAGAGAAACACCCAAAGCATAATGTTTCCACTTCTATGTTTGACGGTGGGGATGGTGTTCTTGGGGTTATAGGCAGCATTCCTCCTCCTCCAAACACGGCAAGTTGAGTTGATGCCAAAGAGCTCGATTTTAGCCTCATCTGACCACAACACTTTCACCCAGATCTCCTCTGAATCATTCAGATGTTCATTGGCAAACTTCAGACCTGTGCTTTCTTGAGCGGGGTACCTTGAGGGTGCTGCAGGATTTCAATCCTTCACGGCATAGCATGTTACCAATTGTTTTCTTGGTGTCTCTGGTTCCAGCTGCCTTGAGATCACTGACAAGATCCTCCTGTGTAGTTCTGGGCTGATTCCTCACCGTTCTCATGATCAATGAAACTCCACGAGGTGAAATCTTGCATGGAGACCCAGACCGAGGGAGATTGACAGTTATTTTGTGTTTTTTCCATTTGCAAATAATCGCATCAACTGTTGTCACCTTTTCACCAAGCTGCTTGGTGATAGTCTTGTAGCTCATTCCAGCCTTGTGTAGGTCTATAGTCTTGTCCCTGACATCCTTGAACAGCTCTTTGGTCTTGGCCATGGTGGAGAGTTTGGAATCTGATTGCTTGGTTGCTTCTGTGGGCAAGTGTCTTTTATACAGGTAACAAGCTGAGATTAGGAGCACTCCCTTTAAGAGAGTGCTCCTAATCTCAGCTTGTTACCTGTATAAAAGACATTTCGGAGCCAGAAATCTTGCTGCTTGATAGGGGATCAAATACTTAATTCAACCATTAAAATGCAAATCAATCTATCACTTTTTTGAATTGCATTTTTCTGGATTTTTTGCTGTTATTCTGTCTCTCATTACTAAAATAAACCTACCCTTAAAATTATAGACTGATCATTTCTTTGTCAGTGGCAAACATACAAAATCAGCAGGGGATCTAATAATTGTTTCCCTCACTGTACATTAAAAATGATAATTAAGTACAGCAAATAACTTCAAAATAATTAGTGATATGTAATTATACATTTATCTTTATCTATATATTAGTTTAATTTTTCTCTTCATCCCACCCACTAGATTTTGATATGTAGCTAGGTAAGTACAATCTTATGCATCCCTATTTTAATCCGGTTTTTATTTGTTTTAATTACCTGTCCATTGCACGGTCACGCATTCTATCCCTTTGCCTTTGTTTCTCTTTTCTTTGTTTTGTCTCTTCATCATCATCATCATCACAGCCATCACCAGTTGCTACAGAAAGTTATATTTCAGAAGCAACATTCATTTTTTTAAGAACATTCTTTTAAATTCTACATATCCTCTTTGACCTATATGTTGATAATCTCGTGGGAATATTAAGAAAGAATTACCACAATTTCATGCCTAATGTAATTTCAAACATTTATTTATAGCTCATAGACTCACATGCATATGCATAGTCTTAACACTGAAGCTGACCTAATTGACTTTGGCTTCTGAAAAGACAAGCAGTTTCAGACCTGTTTAATACCTGGATAGGAGATCACCAGGAAACAGCAGGGCTGTTCATTAGGCTGAGAAATCAAAGTAAACATAATGAAAGATGGTAATATAATGTAGTTGTTAAGGTGTTGGGCTAGAAGCAGGGTGACTTAGTTCACACATAGCCAGAAAATGTTTCTAGGTTACTTTCTCTTTCAGACCAACCTACCTCACAGGACTTTTGTGCAGAAAAAACAAATGAGAGGACTTTTTTTGCTACCCTGAGCTTCTAAATAAAAGACAGGTTATAACTCAGTCATTCAATCTTAATGACAAGGAAAATTATATATTTTAATTTATGATGTCAGTAGGAGCTGAATTTGACTAAAAGGTGCTTCAATTTTGATAAACTAACAACAAATAAAATACCGATTTCAGTTATTCTGGGGTATTGCTTATAAGCATTTAGGACAGAGCTCACCAACTATTTTGGAACAGTAGGCACATATAGAATTTTGAGAACAAGATAACAAGAATGTTACCATGGACAAAGTTGCCACTTTTAAAACATTCATTAGCAGTAATTCTCTGGGCAGTATTTTCTAAGGGCACCTCTGGGATTTTTAGGGGAAGTCAGAGATATTAATGGAAAAATGGATTGTTCTTGAGGCTGATGGTTGTCATTTAGACTTTTTTCAGTTAAAAGAATTTAAAGATATAAACTAGATGAGGAAGTAAGTTTAGTGAACACCAAGAAACGTGTTCAAGGTTTACAGATATCTGGTGTATTATTACAATATTAACCTTCTAGATATAATGAGCCTATGACCGTGGTTATAGATAAAAAGGCTATTATTATATACTAACAGACTAAAATGAAATCTTGATTGGACAGACTAATTGAGGGAAAGCGAAATCTGTTATTTGGGAATCTCACTGAATTAAACAGAGGGCATTCTGGAGATTTGCAGCATTTGTGGATGTCATTATACCACAGCAGAAATTTGTTTCACTGAATCCAAAGTTTGTTATATCAAGATCCAGTAAACCTATCCAAGAATTGTACAACTCATGCATTTATTAACTATTCTTAAAAAAAAATCTGCATTCTGAACAGGGAAGCATGGATACTAGAATGCTATCCCCAAAGAAATAATAGGGGTTCATTCTAAAGTTAATATATGGTTCCAAGTGAAAAGAAAGAAACATAGGTGTTTCAATTGCATCTATATATCTTACCATACTTTTTCCTTTGAGAGATTCACTGCCTCTTTTATACTCCTTTAAAAAAAGAGAAGAAACAACACATTAATTCTACATATAGAGGAATTTATATAAAATATGTTAACAGTGATTTGTTATATTGATTGAAAAATGTTTACAAGAAGTACAACTTCTGAAAATTCAACTTTAAAAGCAGCATTTGTAAACAACTTTCTACAAGAATGCTGACAAATAGACTAATTTTATCGATTCAAATATAAACAACTTATATTCATTTATTTCAACTAAAGATTAAATCCTGCATGTGTCTTCAAATTATAGCCTTTTCTATTTTTCTATTTGAAGATGCATTCATTCCATTGTACGCGCAACTGGAGATTCTGGAGGAGCAAGTAGTTCAGCACTAATGGAAAGATAGGATTTCAGGATTCACATGTGCTCTTTTCAAGCATGCTTTGCAGAGTAAACAATATTAAGCTCTATCTGCATTTAGTTTACGTGTAGCACAATTGTCTCAGAATTGAAATGACAATGTGGACATGAGATAAAAATCCTCTTTTCAGATAAATGAACTATACTGACAGTGCTGGTTATATGGTAGGCAACCATGAAATTATTACATTGATTTTTCTCAGGAGGCAATAATGCTTGCAGTATCCTACAATGAATTAGCTTTTAGCTGCTGGACCAGTCTTTGCTAATCTAATGATAGGATGGGAGCCAACTATGTTTCCAAAAATGAAATGATGATTAGATTTATATCCTGCCTTTACTTTGTATTATTTTAGGTACTGTAGATAATGATGCTGCCTCAAGCAGCTGGCCCAGCTGTTCTCACAGTGGTCCAGAGCAACATGGTCCAGAGCTGGAACTTTTTAAGACATTTCATCTCTGGAGACAGAATGGTTTTGCACATGACTTGTAGCATTCTCAAAATGCACAAGAATTACAATTCCTTGAATTCCTAGCAAGCATAAGTATAATCATGTTGGTTGTAGCCTTAACAAATCTGGTGGCTGTGCTTGATCATACTATCTTTCAAATTAGAAATCTAAAATAAGAATGAAGCAATTATTCTGTGTGCTATGAAGAGCGAATGCTTTATTTTTACTCTATATTGAATTACAGGTAGTCCTTGCTTAATTGACAGTAATTGGGGCCTGGTACTCCAGTACTGAACAACACAGTGGTAAAGAACAATGTCATGTGACCGCACCAACATATGATAGCAGTTCTGGGTGTCCCACCTGCCATCATTAAGTGAATCGTGCCCCAATCACATATGATCACATGAACATCATTTGCAGTCTCCTGCTGGCTTCCCCACTGAATTTGTTTGTCAAAAGCTGGTGGTGTAGGTTGCAAATAAAGAAGACATGATTGTGGAACACTGTGACATAATTATGAGCCAGGTGCCAACTTCATGAATTACAATCACATGACTGTAGGGACAGTGCAACAATCACAATGAGGACCAATTGTAACCCCTCCCCCCATTCAGTGCCAATACCACTTTGAACAGTTGCTGAACAAGTGGTTAAATAAGGTCTATCTGTATATTTCTTGGACATTAAATCACTAAAAAACAAAATGTTTAAAGAAATAAAAATGGAAAATCGCACTGTTATAATTTTAATGGTTTTAGAAACTGCATATGGCCCATGATGAACATACTATATATATTATTCATACTTGTTCTATGAATAGAGTAACTTACAATATTTATAATACCTTTAGCTTCAAAGACATGTTAAAAAACAACAAATTACAATATTTTTTTCCTCTTATTTGGGAAAGTTACTTACACCTTTATCTCCTTCATCTGCTGACTTGTCTTCTTCACCATCATCTGTCAATACACAAGATATAAAACCACTCTGAATAAATGGCTTCTATTCTTCAATGGTCCAAACAACAGTATCAGTCTAAAGCAATAGTACCATTATTTCTCACTAACCGATTAAAAACTGCACAAGATCTCTTTTATGAACTATTTTCATCTAGCAATGAAAAATGATAATTATTAAAAATTGACTAGATTATTAAAAAAAATGACAGTGCTGTGAAGTTCTGAGTTTCAGAGAAGCATTTCTACTGAACGTGGATGTTGCCAAGGTATATTATAATAGATTAGAAGCTAGGTATTAGGATCAGCAAATAATGCATCCAGATCTCAAAATAAAATTGAATGTTTACCATTATCAGAATCATCTCTTTCACTTTCTGTCTTTGCCTGCTTGCTGTCTGGTTCCTCTCCACTTTGGGGTTGTTTCCGCTTGTATAACCCACCTTCGTTATCTGAACGTCCACCCAGACGACCACGAAAAGCTCTCCTCTTGGGCTAGAGACAAGTTGAACAAAACATTCTTGACCCATTGATTGACGCCAGCAGTGTACCAGAGAATATTTTAAGAATGCTTCTTGCTATTCCTTTCTGATGAAAAATTAAAAATTGCAAGGAAAGTCAAAAAATAGGCTTGTGTGCATTTGACAATGTAAAAACGATAAGCCTATCACAACTTTCTTATTTACTAAAGTAATCTCATTTATAATTATTAAAATAGCTATGAGAGTTCCTAGTATTAGCATGTTAAACTTACTCTGCCACGTGTCCTGCCGAATCCATAGGGCATGTTCCCAGGAATCCTTCCCATTCCTTGCATTCCCATCATGCCATAATCATAATCCCCATAGTTGCCATACTCTCCATAGTCGCCATAGTCTCCATAATCACCATAATCCCTATACTCAGGGACCATTGCTCGAGAAAAGAGTGATGGAAGCCTGTTAGGTCCAGGTCCTCCCATATTCCTCCCGCCCATGTAATTCATTTCATTCCAGTGTGTAGACAGCCGTTCTGTACTGGAGGGCATGAAGCAGTCACGATTGAAAGTGTTTGGACGACCTCGATTTTGGCCCCTCCCTCTAACAAAACCATAGTTGTTTCCTCTGTTACCAGGTTGATCTCTGCGGTTACCAGGAGCATCATAGTGACTTCCAAAAGTATCATTCCGATCTAATCCAACTTCATTATAGTTATAGCTGGTTCTGTACAGATCACGATCAGGTGCTGCGGCTCTAGAGTCGTATGATTCAAAAGATTCAAATCTGAAAGAGCTGTATCACAAGTAAAGAATCTAGTCAGCAGTTAAGAGAGATTTTAAAGAACTACCAATTCCCATGCTGGGATTGTTCCAGTTTAGTTGTAACAATGCAGTCTATTCAACAGCTGATTATCTGTCATACGTGCAGAAATTCACAGCCATCACTCACTGACAGGTTGTGGAGTAGTTAGGCTGAGAATGAATTGCACCTGAGAGCCCAGAGCCTCTAAGCAGTCAGAACTCATAACATGGGCAAAACAGATCAGTCGGATGTATTGGGCAACAGTTTTATACACTTGATAAGATTTATGAGTAAATACTCCATATTTTTATCAGGTGCTCAAGGCAGTGAGACCTTGAGGAGACCCGAACTCATTGGTAACCTCACATTGCAATGAACAAGGACATATACATTCAATTTCATAGCTACTAAGATCGTTGGCCATGCAGATACAAAAATAGCCAGGGAAGTGATTGAAGTTTGGGAAATGGGCCCCTCGTCAGTCACCAGGAATGCTGATTTACCACCATCTTATCAGGTACTTAGGAGCTGAGGGCTTAGCAGCCCAAGGAAACAAAAGCCAATTGCCAGCCATTAACACACCAGTCGATCAATAGGAAGGCGCCACCTAAATATGCCACATAGAACAGGGTAAAGCATGTATTCCAATAGAGCAGTGGTGGCGAACCTATGGCACACATGCCAGAGGCGGCACTCAGAGCCCTCTCTGTGGGCATGCGTGTTGTTGCCCCAGCCCCACCTCCCCCTGCAGCCCCCTCCTCAGCAGCAGCCCCCCCGGAGGAATCGCCCTCGGGCGCAGCCTGCACGGAGCAGCACAGCCAAAGACATGGCAGCCAGGCAGCGGGGACAAGGCTCCGCCCTCGTGCCCCATCGCACGCAAGATGATGCTGCGGGGCGCAGGTGGAGGGCGTGGCAGCCATGGCGCTGCTGGGCCATCTGGGCGATCTGCGGCAGGCCGTGGAGGCAGTGGGTGGCCCTGCAGGCAGGCAGGGCGGTTTTTGGGCACTCTAAAAGGTTCACCATCACTGCAATAGAGAGAAGTTCCCTGAAGATGGGTTCCAGCACAAGTATGAAAGCTTGGAAAAGTAAATCTCTAGCCGGTGACCGACCCAGATTGGATCTTGCTCAAGGCAGTATAAGAATACTCTTATCACCTCATTTCACCCCACAAATAGGTTGGCTTGAAGATAGTATCTGTCCGATGCAAGCTTACAGGCTCACTTTGGACTTGCCAACACGTTTTCCACTACACCATACTGGCAGTTCCATTTTTTTTCCATGGATTGCTATCAATTGAGTTATCTGAAGGGTCAGAAAGGAAGGCCTATGACCAAGAAATCCGCTCAGATGGATTATTTCTCCTTTCCCACAGTTTCCTTATTTTAAAATAATATTATATAATATTTATATTTAATTTTTTTTAAAAAAAACTCGGGTAGCAACTTTAAGGGGACTATTATTCTAAAAGGTTGTAATGGTTTATCTGGAAAAGCAGAACACTACTTACTAAGGGTTGAAACAGTGCAATAATTCTGATTTGATTTGGAAAAGGCACTTCAAAATATGCAGGACGGCAAGCTCAAAACCAGTAATGTAACTCATTGTTAAAGTTGCATAATCAATTATGAGTGCAGCATTTGCATCCTAAGCATTATGAAACACTTCTTCCAAATCAAACCTAAAGGACTATATCACTATTAATATATCAATATGTTCTTGGCAATATTTTCACCCTGTTGCCTTCACGCCTAAGGTGGGACTAAAACTTAGCTTCCTGGTTTCCAGCCTGATATCTTTAATCACTATACCAAAAATGGTTCTTAAAAATTGATTAAAAATAACATTTAAATTACCTTCCCTGATCTTCCATGTTTTCTCCAGGATTGCCAGTGTTTTCCTTTGATAGCATATCCAAACGCTGGTTTATTTTTGCTATGATGGAATCAGGGTTTTCTGCCTCCAGTGTTCCAGTATTGTAATTTACAACTGGCATACTAGTACCCATTGTCATGTCAGAAGGTTTAGACGTATTCCAGGTAGTTGGGGGAACAGTAGCATCATAATTATATGTGGGACCCGTGGTAGTATTACTGGCTTGAGCACCATAATAATCATATCCTTCATAACCTGGTTAAAAAACAGATAAGTCTAGATTGCACAATCAACAACAACAGAACTTACAAGCTTGCACCTAAGTTAATGGAAACCAACTCCATATCAAAAATCATACACACCTTCAAATAAAACAGACAAAAATATTTATTAGCTTAATGCTGTTTGTTGTTTTAAGACCAGAGTCTGTGTTAAATGATATGCCCATAGATTTACAGTATCAGGTAGAGATTATACTTTCAAAAATATAACTATCACAGAACTATCATAAATGTTCATAAAAGAACATTTATCTCACACATAGCTTTTTGAAAGGGCTTCAAAAGTAATATTAGAAAGTAAAGTATTACTTTACAGAAAGACTAGTGGAAGCTTGGACCCAACTTCCAGTAGAGGTAGTGAGTCAATCATCAGTAACTGAGTTTAAGCATGCTTGGGATAAATATATTTTGTCATCCGACAAAAAATAATAAATAAATATAGTAATAATAAATAAATAAATAAATAAAATTAAAAATTAAAAATAATACATTAAAAAAAAAGAAAACAAAAATGAAAAACTCAAAGGAAAGACTCGATGGACCAATGGGTCGTTTTTGGCCATTGGCTTTCCACGTTGCTAAGGATAAAATACAAAATTATAAACTACAGTGGACCAAAATACGTCCAACATATCTTGATGGCCTCTATCAGCCTCCTTGTCACAACAGAACTTTTGAAGTTTAGTATAACAAAATAATCATATTTATTCGGAGCAATATTTATGGTCCCATATATATTTCAATGAGATGGTAAAGAATACCTATGGGGCATAATCCACCTTTTGGTAAATCCAGTCCCTTCCAGCAGACACCTGATGAATTTGAGACCTTCCTGGAACCCACTGCCACACTCTTCCCTTTGCCATGTTTTTATCCCCCCACTTTGGAATCTTTCCAAATGTTTTATCTCATCATTCTGCACTGAAAATTGAAATTTTTGAAAGGGATGCCTCCTTGTTGTTGTACCTTGATCTTATTTTACTAAGTTATTAATATATTGGGACAGAGTTCAAAATGAGAGAGACATGGATTTGTGTCGTTTATATAAGTAAAGTGGATATCACTTTATTTCTTAAAAAAAGTGGAGAAATGCCTCAAATTCTCTTTCAGTGAAAAGCAAAACTTTGGAAAAGTAAACAAAACACATACCTTGCCAACTTCCCATATTTGTGGCATATGTACCTTAAGGAGACACAGAGACAAAGTTTATTTCTATCTTAAATACATCAAGATCTTTTATTTAACAAATGTACATAGCCACTCATCTATCCAAGGAACAGAAATAAGTATTTCAGCCCAAATGTATACATCAATTGAAAAGAAATGGATAAAATTTCATTATTAACACATACAAACACAGTCATACTAGGCCCAAACGCCACTAATCTTATTTTGACTTTAGAGCCTGGAGAACTGCCAATATTCATAGCCTTCCAGAAGGCTAGCAGGGTCAGGGCTATTTGTATCTCCAGAGGGAGGCTCCTTTACAAGTCCCATGACAGAGAAGGTACACTCCCTGGGGCCCATCAAGTGCCATTACTTCACTTAACTGGATTCAAACATACCCAATCGGATAGGACGGCTGAAAAGGTTGGAAATAAGTGATCCTGCAGGTAACCTGACTCAATGGCATATAGTGTTTTAAAAATGATATCCAACATTGAATTGCACCCAGAAGCTGGTTGGAAGCCAGCGTTTAACATGTAATTGTGCAAAGATTCTCCTGACTATGGCTGCCACCTGCAACCTGAGCTAGAGCTATAAATCCTCTCCCCTTGATTGTGCATCAACTCTGCCTGGGGGATTGTTAACCCATAAAGCTATTGATGGAAAATTAATAAATGCAGGGAACTCTGAAACTCATAGCTATTTAGTCTTGTCAAGGTTGAGTTGAAGCTGGTTCTTCCCAAACTTGATCCACACGGCATCCATGCACTGAAGAAGCACAGTAGTGGCACAGGATAGAGTTGTACAACTAAGCCGAGATTACTTGAGGACAGTCTATTACCTCCTTTGTTGTGCCATCTCCTCCCACAAAGAAGCATTAGCCACCATTTAGCAGAACTCATAGACAAGGACCCTGCCCACTTCCCAGGGAATCATCAGATAAAACTCAGCTGATATAACCGGACAGTTATTTCATAGGCTCAATATAGTAAGAGGCCAGGTATCTTTAGTGGTTGTGCTCCAATTCCAGAGGATCCTGGATGAGATAGATTATTTATATCCTTTCCAGTCAGATTTCAGGCACAGATATGGGATGGAAATAGTACCGGATGTGTTTTTGGATGACCTCTGGTGAGAATGGGATGGGGGAGGTAGTGCATCCATCCTGGATTGTCTTGACCTCTCTTGATCTCTGCTATGTGATCTGCACTGGGTGCAAGTTTGCTTCTGGGTTCAATTCGTGTTGGTTATCACCTTTAAAGCCCTTCATGGCATGGCACTAGGTTACTTGAGGAACTATCTCATTCCAGTTATGTCAACCTGTCCCATCCAGTCAGGCAGGGAGGGACTGCTACAGATTTTATCAGCTAAAGAATTTTGACTAGCAAAATATAGGAAGAGAGTCTTCTTTGAAATGTATTGCCTTCCAGAAATATTGTATTAACACCTGTCTCTGCCACTTCATTGGTATCTAAGAGGGTTTCACCACCCTTCAAGGTGGTGGCTTGTGGCTTGAGGGCTCTCCCTCTGCCTTGTTAACATTTTAGTCTTGTTAATTTTTTAACTTTGATTTTTATTATTTAACTTGTAAATTTTCTTTGATTTTAAATTTTAAACTGTGCTTTAGTCATTTTTTTATATTATTTTATGATGTTTGTAAACTATCCAGAATCACCTAAGTTACATGAGAAATAAATAAAAATAAACCTTATATGAAAGATGCTCATCATCACAGCAGCCATGCAAGGGATCCCCCAACATCTCCATGCTCAGAAAGGATTAAGTCAACCAAAACAGGGTGGTCAAGTGGCTATTTGTGGATGCAACAAAGGCAGAAAAATAACTATATTTTTACTTCCCTTATCACCACAAAGTAGTCCTTAAAAAAGTCTCTTACCCATGCTTGGTCGGACTTGCTTTGTCTTCTTGTGATGCTCTAGGCATCTGTTATATTGCTTCATCTCCTTGTTCCAGGGAGCTCTCCAAGATAAACATGCATAGAGAATCTGCATAAGCCCTATGTGGTCTAAGGCAGGGGTCCCCAATCTCTGGGCCTGTGAGCTGTTGCAACAGGGGCGCAGAAATGGCAGGTGAGCACATGCGCATCCCCACTTGCACAAGCAGCAGCGTGTGTGCATACTCACTGTTTGTGCAAATGAAACTGCCCTTGTGCTTGCTGGCTGTTTGTGTGGAACTATCCCTTCCTTCCCCTCTTTGCCGGTCTGCAAAGCCGGAAAGGTTGGGGAACTCTGGTGTAAGGTGGGTTGCTTGCCAGCGTTGGCTAAAATCTTGGTGAAACTGAAGATCAGTTTTAGAAAGTATCCCATGTGATTTCTGAAACCACATCAAGCAGCCTGGTCAACTAGGCTTCTTTTCTTGCACTGGGGGCAGCTTGGAAAATTCACATTAGAATAAATACGAAATTATTCTTTTTTGTATTCCATGGCAAAAAATTTGCATGAATATTATATATTAGAAAAATCGGAAATTAACACTAGATTAGAATTAGTGAAACAAGTTCTTCCACAACCTCCCTTTATAAAGGAAGTTAAAAGATACATGTCAAGCAATAGCGGAATATTTTTATTTTATATAAAATCAAAGCTCTAATTTATATAAATTCTGATAGAAATTAGCATGATGGAAAACTCATATAAACTATAACTAAGTATTTAATCTAATAAGCCCAAAAGGAAATTACTTTCAATATATGCCTGTGAAAATATTCTGATATTGATATTCATGCTATTAAAATAATTCTTATTCTGCGACCCAGGTTTAAAATAGTCATGGTTATAATCAACTTACAAGTGTAGCTGTATTTATTTTCTTACCATGAGTATTGGTGTTGTCAGTACCCCAAGAACTATAACCTGTAAAAGAAAAGTTCAATGTATTAATAAATTAAAAAAACCTCCACAGTATATTTCTCAAGACATGCTCTGTATCTTCCATATCCATTCAGAGGTTTATCTTTAATACATTTTGTGTATCTGGTAGGAATCAAACCTTTGGGAAGTTGTGTGTTTTCCACTGCTACCAATAAAATAGTAGAGACAGAAATCAGTCCAAATGCCAAGGTTATGCACACTGACTTACATTTTGTTCAATCCTCTGGATACTAATTCTGAAAGTAACATTATATGTGGCCTATAATATCTTATTAAACAAATGCTTATTAACCAATCATGCTTCCAAAACAATTAGTAAGAATTAAGAGTTATCTGAATTCAACTCTTTCAAATGAGTAAACCAAGACTACTGAAATATGGAAGATTTTACTTAAAAAAATAATTTAGGTCCATATCGTACAATACATAAAAATAAACCCTTATCTGGAACCAAGGTTTCTTATGAAAAGAACCAAAAGCCCTTCTGAATGGGAGCAAAATAAACAATTTATTTTATACTAAATGAATATTTCAGGAAAAAAAATACTTGAACATATAAAACTAATACTAAGTCCTTTGTAGAGTCCACTTCCAGGTATTTCATTACCTGACTAGGTAACACTTGCAATGTGGGCTTTACTCTCTGTTTATGTACATTAGCTTGCCCTGCCAGGGTGTTGTTTTCTCCTTGGTAGTTCCTTCATTAGGTATTATTTTCTGCCTGATTGCCTGGTGTTATCTGAGTGTTGGTTGCTACGGATGATGGGTTTTGTTTCCTTCTTAGCTTTTTTATTTTCTTGTCAGTGCCCTAATCAAGGAACTACCAAGGAGAAAACCACATTTCCACCAACACTGGAAGAGCAGGTTACTTTACATAAACAGGGAGCAAAGCTCACGTTTACTGGCACTGATGATGTTACTTAATTGGGTAATGAAATGTTTGTAAGCAAATGTAAGCAAGCTCAAAGAGCACCAAGGACTCCAGAGTTCAATCCTGAGTTAAATATATTCTCTTCTATTGGATTATGTACTTTATATAACATAAATCAAGGTAATATGCTAAATAAAATTGCAACAGAATTGTGATACTCATATTTTCTATAAAAAAATAAATCAATTTCTTCTGAGAAATTAATATCACTGATTCTTATGTATATTCACAGTGCAGATAATTGTAAACATGGGTGTACTCTTTTAACATTTGGTTCTCAATAAAGTACCTCAGAACATTAAACTAGCATAAAATCACACACATTATATTTATTTTCCCCTTCAGTTCAATCGTGTCCTATTCTGGGAAACTGCCAAGACAAATCCCTGCAGTTTTCTTCATAAAGTATTTCAAAAGTGGTTTGCCATTACCTTTTTTCTAGGGCTGAAAAAAAGTTACTAGCCCAAGACCATCTAAGTGGCTTTGTGCCATGGTGAGACTAGAACTCATAGACAGAGATAGTGTGTATATACATAAATATATAGGAGAGGCAGCAACCCTCTCTTGGCCTTTGGAAAATGAGTTAAACATGGCTGTTCAGCCCCCATGCAGGGAGCCCAAAGGGCCATGCAGCCATGGGGCTGATTGGCACCCTTTTTAAATTAATTGTGAACATGATTCAATCATTCTTGCCTGCTTTTAAATTTTAAAAATTTGAGAAAGAGAGCGCACAAACACATTTGTTGCACTCTTTGGTATAACTATATTGGATATTGCAAAAGAACATCACTAAAATTGTTATGTAACAAAGAAATGAAAACAGCAGCAAGACTGAGAATTTCCATTTTTTTACATTTTATCCTAAACCTTTCAGCCATTATGTAGTATCATATAGTATCTTATAACCCAGAATGCCTTACTAACATCTTGGATTTCAATATTGTATTCAGCTAGTATCACCACTGGCAAAACGTTTGTGGAAGCTGTAGTACAAGCATCTGCCAGGGACCGAGGTATTTGTTGCCTTGGATACCAGTCAAGTTCATTATGGTATAATGATTTCTACACTAAAACCCATTTTATCAGATGTAAGATTCCACTTCATAGGAGGAGTAAGTTTAACTTTCAAAAGTTTCACTACCGTGAGTACTAAAAATATCTACTCACAGTTTCATAGGAAATATCATTGCTTCTATATTCATGCTACCTGCTTTATCTTCAAGATATACTACTATATACTATATACTACTATTACTATATAGTATATACTATATACTACTACTATAATACGTCCAAGATCTGAACACACTTTTAACAGAAACAGGGGTCTTCAAACTTGGCCCTTTTATGACTTGTGGATTTCAATTCCCAGAATTCCTCAGCCAGGCTGAAGTCCACAAGTCATAAAAGGGCCAGGTTTGAAGACCCCTGGAATGAAAGATGACTTAATAAAGCTGAAGGTTATCCTCTGATCTAAGCCTCTGGATACATTTTTTTTAAAAAAATAACCATGTAGGCAGATATTCCTAAGTTACATTAAAAAAGGTATTCTCTTTTTTCCCTTGGTATATTTTCTTTTTCCTTCTCCCTTCCCAAAACAATCATACTGTTTACAAATAAAACATTTTAATAAACTCCCCGACATTTTAAACCAAAGACGCATTTGTAAAATACTCACCATGAACAATTTTCTAATTGTTGAGTATGCATATCTTAACCACACAAGTTGAGTTTACTCAACTTGCCAGGCTAAAATGCAGCTGGCCAAATTGGCGACTTAGTATTTGGTACCACCAAGAGTCAATATACCACTTGCTACCATTATAAATGTCACACAGCCCTCAGATCCTGGGTTTCCCCATTGCTCAGTTGAAGTACTCTAGTATTTATTTATTCATCCTTGAACTGGCAAACAACTACACCAGCATAAATTTTGTTTTTTCCCTTCATCCTATTCTGCTTGAATTCCAAAATGATGAACCACAAAACCGATTTTACACTCTTTGAGTCTACTCTTGGAGAGTGTGAAAACAAGCCCGAAAACGCTACTTAGGACTGAAACAAGATGAACACATGGTCATGGGGACCTGACAGGAAAAACGAGGTGGCAAGGCAAGTTTGTTCTTCCTGACAGGTAGCATAATCAGTGGAACGACTTGCCTCCAGAAGTTGTGAATGCTCCATCACTGGAGGTTTTTAATAAGAGACTGGACAGCCATTTGTCTGAAACGGTAAAGGGTTTCCTGCCTGAGCGGGGGGGGGGGGGGAGGGGGGGTTGGACTAGAAGACCTCCAAGGTCCCTTCCAACTCTGTTATTCTGTATTCTATTCTGTATTCTGAGATAGGTAGAAGCAGAGGATGGCCTGTGAACGCTCTTACTGGGCATGTTGGCAACCCGTAACACAAAACCGCCCTGAGTCCCGTAAGGGAGATAGGGCGGTACATAAATTTAAATAATAAATATTAAATAAATAAAACGGGAAAGGTTTCGAGGGATGGCCCTTCCTGTCATTTCCTCCCCCCCCCCCCCCCCATGTCGCTATGGAAATCCAACGCGGGCCACGATGAGCTTTTCGACCGAGCCAGCCCGCTTCTTTTCTAGCCAGAAGCGCCGTCAGCGGAGAGGCAAGACCCACGAGCCACTGTTTACAAACTGGAAGGCATCGACCCCCGCAGCAGGAAGGAAGAGCGCTATCGCGAGCAGAACTTCCCCCACGCCATTTTGTGTCGTCTTTAGAAATAGGACTTCGGTCCTTCTTTCTCGCACGGTGCAGCAGGGGGGGAAAAAATCGGACCCTCCGCCTCGCTGGCCAAATGGCACTCCAGTCACCAAGCGGAACGTGGTGAGGGACAAGCACAAGGTCCAATCACCGCCGCCTGCGCCTCGCCGAGAAAGAAGGCACCGACACCGGGGCTTCGCGACTTGCAGTGCTGCTACGTCATTGAGAAGAGAAACCAGTTCTGTCATAGTCCAAAGCTCCCCTGCGCTCGCCGGAGCATCCATCCGCCGCGGTTGCCTTCACCAGCAGGACTCACCGTAACTTTGATCCATGGCTTCACTTGCCGTCCTCCTCCACACCACGAACAGTTATCCACCACCCTACTGCGCGAGCGCCATATGCCACCACAGATTGGCTTCTGCCGCTATTCCCGAAGTTCTATTGGCCGGGCGTTTAAACTTACAATGTCTGTTGCTCCCGCCTCCCCATAATAAGGTCGCTCCCATTGGCCGTTCGTTAAGCTTACCCGTCGCTGGAGATCTACGTTCTACGCCTTCCGACGCCTGGAGAACTTTCCTATTTGCAGCTAAAGCGGCTTGCTAGAAAGATTTCCGGTTCCCGTTTCTGTAGATACCTTCCAAGACGGCGAGCGCTTATAAGCCTTCAGAGAACAGTAAATGAAGAAGGGCGGGCTGAAGATCGCTTTTATTACTTGCGAATAATTAAAAACGCCGTAGATAATTTAATGGCTTCAGCTTTCTTGTATGGATGTAACCTCGAGGACTTTAGACGTCTTTTGCTTTACAGTTCGGGGCGGAGGGTAGGTTGACATTACTCTGCGTGAAGTCCACGTGTCTTTTGGTATTGCTGGCAGTTTGGACCAACGAGCTCTCATAAAAAGGCTTCGTTTATTTTGCTGGTTAGTACTTCGCCTTTCCCTAATCCTTGTTTGGTGGTCCAATTTTGTATAATGCTGTTTGTAATCTTTCTTTTTCGTCTCTGTTCACACACTGACCTATAAATTAACTGTATTTGAAAGGAGTTTCTTGGCAATTAGTTTATGGTTCAGTATGTGGTGCAGAAGATAGGCTGAGGAAATGTCAGGTGAGCCCAGCCTTTTTCTAAGTAATTTTCTATGTAGCTCAACCGTTTCCCCCCATGTTAACGTGTGCTGCAGTAGGAAATGCCTGGATGTGGGTGCTAATTTTTGAAACTACTATCTATGTACACACACACACACACACACACAATCTACAATACAAAATTCCAAACTTGTCTCCATTTGTCACTAAAAATAGATTATCAACTGGTGTTGTAGCTAGTGATTTAACATCTGTAAGTATTGTCACTGACAATATTGATATAACATAATAAAACTTGTTGGACCATCAGTAAGGATTGGGAGGCCTCATTTTGTTGGCCTTTCTCTGTGGCCAATATTAGTTATGTGGGGTACCTCAAGGCTTAGATCTTTCTCCCCTCCTATTTAACATCTATATGGAGCTGTTGGGAGAGGACATCTGGTGAGGGCTTGGTGAGCTGATAATACCCAATTTATCTACTCCATGCAGGTCAAGTGATGTGCTTGCTCAGTGGCTGGAGGCTCTAAGGCAGACATGTCACACTCAAGGCCCGCGCAGACATGTCACACTCAAGGCCCGCTATGTGTTTAGATCTGGCCCGCAAGCAGACTAGTGAGCTGAAGCGGTGGCAGTGCCAGAGAGACCTGGGGGAAGAGTCAGCTGAAACTCTGCTGAGGCCCCGGGATCAGCACCCACGGCTCCAGCTGATCGGGACTTCTGGCAGCCTCAGGGGTGGCCGTCAGCTGCACGCAGCTTTCGGGGGTCAGCTGGAGCTGCAGGGCTGCCGGGGCTTGGCAGGGACTCCAGAATCAGCGTACGCAGCTCCAGCTCACTAGACTGAGAAGGCATAAAAACATCTTAGAAGGTGGTAGTATCAAGCCACTTCCATAATGCTGCCAAGAAAACTGCCTAAATGCAGTCACTAGGAGTTAGGTTTAACTTGATTTAAAATGTTTATACAGAGAAAATGTTGTTCATGAAAAATACAATTTTAAAAACAATTGATGTGCAAATTTAGTATTTCATACAGGAACACAATAACATTCAAGCGGAAGAGAAACTTGTACTGTAGCAGTGACAGAAGATGAGATGAAATTATTTTGCTTTGTAACTATAAGGTAAAAATATTTATATTGTTTATAAGGAAAGGCACTGATGCTGGCATTTTTCTCCTATGCAGAGATAAAAATTATAGTATGTGTTATATGGAAGTAGGAGAGTACATTTATACAATGAATCATTTTTAAAACAATTGGAACTAGAGACAAAATCAGTCTCTTGATTGTCTGGCCCAGGAGAACACCTGAGCTTCTGGACAATTGCTGCTCCACCAATCAGCTATGCCACTATAAGCCCTTTCTTATGCCCATCAATCTATTCCTACAAACNTTATAGTATGTGTTATATGGAAGTAGGAGAGTACATTTATACAATGAATCATTTTTAAAACAATTGGAACTAGAGACAAAATCAGTCTCTTGATTGTCTGGCCCAGGAGAACACCTGAGCTTCTGGACAATTGCTGCTCCACCAATCAGCTATGCCACTATAAGCCCTTTCTTATGCCCATCAATCTATTCCTACAAACGTAAAACAGCCAAATTTTTCTCCTGACTCTATAATCTGCCTTGCTACTCTACCATGACTTACATTTGGTCTCCATTTTAACAGTCTTCTTGGGCCAATTCCAGAGATATGATCTTTTTAACCTCTTTTCTCAAAAGATTTAATCCATCAATTTCTCAAGTGTTTTCCTACAATTGTCAGTCAGACTCAATTAAAATAATATAGACAATCAAAGTAATGTTAACATCAACTCTATAAAATTGCAAAAGAATGGGTGCATGAAAAATCCACCAGAAGAATGGTACTTTTAAAATCACTTGCACTGCCTATTTAATGACGAAAAGCATATCTTTGATTAAATCCTCAAAGCTTGTTATGTCAATCACTGATTCCCCCCCCCCCCCAGTTTTCTTGGAAGATAAAATTTTAAAGTCTTTTCCTATACCACTTATGTCATAGGTAAACAGTTCCTGAGATCAAAAATGTATGAAACATGAGATATCTGTTTAGTGACAGCTAATTACAATGTCTACTGTAATTCATAGGAAAAAATCATTACAAATATTCCTATTTATTACATTTTTTTTCATTCAAAATCTAATAGTTGAAGAACATCAACACTTTATACCAATATGAATTGAACTTATGTGAATATGAAGAGTGCATAAAAGAAAATTATTGTACCATTTCGGTTATAGACAGCAAGCAAAACAAACTGGTTACTGTAATATTTCCTTTGAAGTTAAGAAAACCATGGACAAATAAGCACGATTAGTTATAAAATTGGGCTATTGACTGTTGTCTTGCACCTTTCAGACTTTATATGCTCTCAAATTGTGTTAAGGAATATTTCCAACTATCTGGACAAATTAGCTAAACAAGCAAGAGATTTTAGGGTGGCAGGTTATATTGATCTTCCACCTGCTCCAACAGAAGAAATTCTGCCAGAAAAATGGAAGTATCCTTTAGATTCTAGGAATGTGGAAACTAACTCCAGAGGCTAGAATAGGACAGACAATTTCTTTGATTCTCCTATTAATAATAATACCAGTTTTGCAACAATACATACATATAACAGCTAAATAATTTCTTAACTTTGAGTACAATGGTTTAGAAATGTGCTTTTGAACTTTCCAGATTGCAATTTAGAAAACAGAGTTCTAATAATGGTCCCATAGAACAATTATAGATACCTTAAATAGCTACTCCCAAATGAAAGAAAAAGGGCTGAACTCAAAATCCAATGTGGAAAGCAATGGCCTGACCCACGGCCAGATACTATACATATTTATTCAGGAAATTCCTGAATATGTATTTAATTGAATAAACATAGTTGCAATCATCTGCCTATGTAATTTGGAATAAAGTCAGTAATTACAATAGCATTTTCTTACAAGTATACAGATTCACATTTTCAAAATGGTCTTGGGCAGAAAAGCTGAGTTATCACTTTATTATGTTGTTATTATTACGTAACTGGAGTATCAAAGCATCATTTGCAGATGAGGATCTACAAACTAACTGGTTAATTCCCAATCTCATTAATTCTATTCAAGACTGCTTCCCATCTAGTTGTACCTTATTTCAAACAGGAGGGGATTCCTCTCCAAGATTTATGTCCCAGCTGGAGTATATTGGAGGGGAGGAGAGAGGAGAAGGAGAGAACAGGGTCAAAGGAAGAAAGCATCAGATACTGAGGAAAAGTTAGCATCCTTCATCAGTGCAAACTGCTCTGTACAAATATCCCAATCCAGAGAGAGAAACTGGAAAGCCCGTATGATGCAACAGTGAAGGTGCTGGATCAGAAACCAAGGAGACTTAGAGTTCCAGGCCTCAGTTAGGCATGAAAAGTGGCCAGGTGAATCATTCACTCACTCAGCCCAACCCACCTCACAGAGTGGTTGTTGTGAGGTAAATAGGAGGCAGGAGAATTAGTTTGCCTCCTTGAGTTATATATAAAAAAGATGGGATAAAAATATAATAATAAAAAGAACAATCCTGATTTTAAAGTTATATGAAAATACAGATTTGTTTTATGTTTATCTCAATACATAATGAATAAATTTGCCTACAAATTGACCAATAGTCCAAGAAATAATGCATTTGAATTATTCTAAGGTTATGGTAAGTGCTATTCATTTGGAATTAACATTTGGCTTGATAAACATTATTCAGACTGATGTAAAGAAAATTCTCATAGCAGCTGATACCATTTTGCAAAAACATACCACTGGCATGTATGTGAGTCCAAACGTTGAAAGAAGATGGGATATTTACTCAAGTACTGTATTAGCAACCTCTGTCTCTTCAGTTATTGCCAGAAACCTAATACCCCAAAGCTGTTTTGTAAATTTCCTCATTCCTTGTTCAGCCCAACTGCTAATACCTTTTAAGATACGAGCCCATACATATAAATACAAGTTTATACTGGAATTTCAGTACTCCCAACATTCATAAAATTTATTATTATCTACAACTTGATTGAGTACAAGACAAAGCTACTACTATGAACACTTGAGTCATTATACATTAAAAATAAGCAATACATTGAAATGTTTTCAATGTTTCGATTTATGTCAGTTCAATACATTGCTAAATGGTTTTTACTAACAAAACTTACTTTTACATGTTTCTCCACCAGTTATTTGGTTCTTGAGTCTTAATGAAGAAGAAGTATTATATGGCTGAAAGGCCTCTACCCAGTGTGTAATGATTCCTTCACTCACCATTCTCTTTGCTAATGTAGCAGGTTTCCAGAAAAATATGTCCACTGAATATTTTCAGATTCCATTGCTTGATCTCCAC